TGTTGGGGTTTTTTTGGTCATTCCACTTATTTATGCATTCATTGGGTGATTCTTGTATGTGCCCTGACCGGAGATCGAACCGTGACCTCCTGGTTCATAGGTCGATGCTCAACCACTGAGCCACGCCAGCCGAGCTGGTTTTTTAATTTTAGTTATAATTTTCAATTATAAAGTTCCCATTTCAGTTCTAATTTGTATCTTCTGTTTCTTTGTTGAGACTTTTCGTGTTTGTTTTTTATCCCCATTTATTTCAAGCATGTTTGCTATTTCTTATTGAAACATTTTTATGATGGCTGCATTTAAATCCTTGTCAGATAATTCTAAATCTATGTTATCTCTGTGTTAGTATCTGTTGATTGACTTTTCTCATTCAAGTTGAAATTTTCTTTGTTCTTGGGTGGTAGTGATTTCCATTTGCAACTTGGGCATTTTAGGTCTTGTGTTGTAAGAATGTAGAGCTTATCTATTATTTAAATCTTGTGTTTTAGCAGGCCTCCTCTGCTACTGCACCAACGGGAAGGGAGGGCACCATCTTGTTATTACCTGATGGGTTAGAAGCCCACGTTTCTCATTTGGCTGCAATATGCTGGGTGAGATTGGAAATTCAGGCTCCCCACTGGGCCTCCTAGGCTGATACTGTCCTGCCTGGAAGTGCTTTGTTCCTGTTCCCCACCTGGTCTAACTAATTCTGTGGCTGAGATCCTCATTACCAGCTGGTGGGCGTGAAAGACACCAGCTAGGAGGGAAGAGTGCTGTGCTGTAAACTGGGCAGTAGTAGAAGTCTAGACTCTCTATTTAAACCTTGTTGACGGGGGTTGCAGTTTTTCCTGTGGTGGTTGCTGGAGTAAAGTGACTATTGTCTAAATGTTTTCTGTCTGGTTTGTCCTTTCCTGGTCCTTTGGTCAAAGAAAACAGGCTCTTCTCCAGCCTTTTTGTGTGTGCCCATTGGTATTACTGTGTTGTTGGCTTCTCCATCACTTGGTCTAGGATATGGGAGGCAAAAAGAACACCCAGTGAACTGTTAAGTCATTTCTCTATCCTGCAGTCTCTAGCCAGTTGTCTTCTCTCTGTCTTTCAGAGTCTTTTCCTGTTTGTTTGTATATAATGTCTAGGTGCTTAGCTATAGTTAGCAGGAGGAATTCATTCCTTTCTTAATTATCTTATATATATAAAAGCCTAATATGCAAATTGTCCCCTCGGAGTTTGACTGGGAGTTTGATCGCTCGCTATGACGTGCGCTGATCCCCAGGATGTGGTGTGGAATGAAGGAAGGCCCTGGCCAGCAGCCGGCAGCCAGAAGGCCCTGTTTGGCCCTGATGACTGGCCAGGTCTAGGAACCCTACCCATGCACGAATTTCATGCACCAGGCCTCTAATTTTAAATAACCGATATTTATCTTTATTATTTGTTTAGGCTCTGAAGGTACTACTGCAGGAGCAATCAGAAAGCTCAGATACTCCCTCTCCACCCCTAAGAAAATAACCTTTTTTTTGTTAAATCAACACTTAAGTGCTTGCTGATTGTAGACTAATATGTTCATGTTCTTTCACAGAGCCACTTGTAGTGTTGTCTTGAATTGTTAAGACCTTCTGTTATTAGATATGAAAATGTCACAAAAACATTCTTATTTATTGCTTAGTTGGGAGAGCTTGTTGAGGATATGTTTTTAAAAAAGAAATATTGACCCTATATAATTAGGGCAATAATGTGACTCAAGCGGTTTTGCCCATAAGAGTGGTATGATATACTTTACTTTAAAACATGTGCTAAGTTACTCTTTTTCCCTTCTCAGCTGGAGTCGAGATGGTCATAAGCTTGTGAGTGCTTCCACTGATAACATAGTGTCACAGTGGGATGTTCTCTCAGGAGACTGCGACCAGAGGTTTCGGTTCCCTTCACCCATCTTAAAAGTCCAGTATCATCCACGAGATCAGTATGTTTAATCTGAGCTGTTCTTCCTGGGGTGGGGTCTAATTTTATATGGATTAGTTCCACGCTCATGACAATTTCAGTTTAAGGTTTTGGGAAGCAAATTCACACATCCCTAGACCTTCCACAGAAAAAGTCTTCCTGTCTAGGTTGGCTCTACTAAATAGATTTTAAGGAGTGAGTTATATAGTGAAAAACTGGCCAAAAATAGGACTTTGGAAATGGACAAAGATAGGAATAAGTGTAATAACTAGTCCTTGACCTGTCCTCTTCCCTCCCCATTTTTGGATTTCTTTAGTAGAAGAAATTATTCAGTATTAAACTGCATTTAAGAAAGAATTATCTAATCATTCTGTTACCCAGACATAACTGTCTGCATTTCTCTGGTCAAGTTCTCTTTACATATAAAGGTGGTTATATAAAGCTCACAAAGCACAGATATGCCATGTTACATGTTCTTAAATATGTATTTTTTACATGGTTTTCATCAGTATTTTACTTAATTTCATACATATTTTACTAGTTTGATACATTTTTATTTTCAGTGATTACATTTTATTTTGTCAAGGTAGGACTCCATACCTATTCAGTCACTTCTCTATCATTAGACAGTTAGATTTTAGGTTTTCACTATATTCAGTTTGCTTGGGCTAGAAGAGTAAGTGAGGGTATCAACCTTCTGATACCAAAGCAACAGCCAATGTACTATTCATATTTTTAAACAGGAACAAGGTTCTCGTGTGTCCCATGAAATCTGCTCCTGTCATGTTGACCCTTTCAGATTCCAAACATGTTGTTCTACCGGTAGACGATGACTCGGACTTGAACGTGGTTGCATCTTTTGATAGGCGAGGGGAATATATCTATACAGGAAATGCAAAAGGCAAGGTAAGCCTAGAAGCCAGCAGAATACCCCTCAGTCGTCCTGTGCTTTGCCTCATTTCATGTGTACTTGTGCTACTTTCTTTTACCCCCACTCTAAGCATGCCTCCTGCAAATACGGCTTATTTTTCTCTCATGCTTAATAATTTCTGTTTTTTGGATTTAGAGTGGTCAGAGATTATGTGGCCTAGAAAAAGATAGAAGGGCCTTTACTGGGTGCTACTAAGGAAGGGTCATTTCTAAATTATATTACTGCTGGTGAAAATACTTAGTTCTGTAAATATTGTATAATTCAGACTAGCATAACCTGTAGTTTTGTAGAAGTCAGGTTAGACAAGTGCTAAGGTACCTTTTAAGCTTAGAGTTTGTAGTTCCATTAGGCACCTTGATTTTTTTTAACTAGGGCACATTGTAGTAAAAAAAAAAACAACATAAAGTACATACAACATAAAATTTAGCACCTTAACCATAAAATGTATAATTCATGAGTATTAAGTACATTCACATTGTTGTGCACCCATCACCTCCATTCATCATCTTGCGAAACACTAAATAATAGCTCCCTACTCCCTGCTCCTACATCCCTCCCTCTCCCTCCAGCCCCTGGTAACTATCATTCAGTCTTTATGAATTTGGCTACTTTAGGCACCTCATATAAATGGACTCATACAGTATTTGTCTTTTTGTGACGGGCTTATTTCATTTAGTATAATATCCTTAAGATTTATCCATGCTCAGCATGTGCCAGAATGTCCATCCTTTTCAAGGCTGAATAATATTCCGTTGTATGTATGTACGTTTTATTCATTCATCTGTTGATGAATACTTGGGTTGCTTCACTTTTTGATCATTGTGATTAACACTAAACATTCTCTTTTAAGAATAGATTAAGACACTGTCCTTTATTTGAAGAGGTAAAAGGCAATACCAGTCAATCAAGTTGAATACATGGGAATAAAGATGTTTATATTTTTACCTAGTCTCTCCCAGTTTTAGAAACAGAAGCCAGATCCAATTACTGTAAGTTACCTGAATACTTACTTACTTTTAACTTTTTTTTTTAAACTTTAGATTTTGGTCTTAAAAACAGATTCTCAAGATCTTGTTGCTTCCTTCAGAGTAACAACTGGAACAAGCAATACCACAGCCATTAAGTCAATAGAATTTGCCCGGAAGGGGAGGTGAGACCTTGTCTTTTTAGGGACAGTTTTAAAATTGAGTGGAATGCAAAAATACCTTGGTTCACACTTTTTGTGTATATTTTACTTATAATTTTGTAAAAGTTTACTTTAAACATGGTTATTAGAGCCCGGCCAGTGTGGTTCAGTGGTTGAGCATCTACCTATGAACTAAGAGGTCCTGGTTTGATTCCTGGTCAGGTAACATGCCCGGGTTGTGTGTTTGAGCCCCATTGGGGGGCATGCAGGAGGTAGCCCGTCAGTGATTCTCTCTCATCATTGATGTTTCTATCTCTCTCTCCCTCTCCCTTCCTCTCTTAAATCAATAAAAATATTTTTAAAAATGGTTATTAGAAACTGTTAATATCTGGTTCTTAAATTTACTGCATTGAGCCAGCATTTACTAGTACATCTTCTTTATCAGGAGGTTATCAGGCAGTTGCTTTACAGAAAGAATATCTGAGTGATATGTGCGGAACCAGTGCCTGGCAAGTGGTTAGCACTGGGTAAAGATTAGCTATTATTATAATTAGAATAGATGTCACAGAATTCACAGAGTAACTGAACATACACTTTACTCACATAAAGCCAGCCTGTTTACCCCTTTAATTTCCAATGTTTTTCTGGTAAGTTTGCTTATCCAGCTAGAAGTAGATATATCAACAGAGACAAGAAGAAATAGGTTGTCAATAAAAGAGGTAACACTCATCCTGTTTCATGTAGGAACACCATAATGCTTTGGGGACATTCTCTTCAATTAAGAAAAGGTTTGTCAGTAAAGTCTGGAAGAAGGGTGTGCAATAATATATTTTAGACAAATTTCTAAAGTTATTAACAGTAATAAACAAAGGAACATTTTAAATTGAAATAGTTTATGAACTCCTTAAGAAGAATATATTGTGTATGAAACAGGCCAGAGAAATGAAGTATTTATATACATTTAACTGTATTCTTGGGAATTCAGCAAGCTGGTTTCAATTTACAGTTCTTGAATCTCAGTCAGTACTGATGACTGGTTTGTTAGTTTGCACAGGCAGGGTTCAAGGATGCACAGAAGGTATATAATATATTTTCACTTCAAATTAAATTTTCATTTGGAATGTGGCAGGTAGATGCATAGGCATTTGAGCACATTACTTAGGTCTTTACTCAGTTTCTCCCCAGTTTATTCGGTGTTTTATGGTACTGTTCTAAGTAACAGGCTGTAATAGAAGATGTTAACGGAAACAGATTCCTGACTTGTGATTTTCCTCCTTTCTGCAGTTGCTTTTTAATTAACACGGCAGATCGAATAATCAGAGTTTATGATGGCAGGGAAATCTTAACCTGTGGGAGAGATGGAGAGCCTGAACCTATGCAGAAGTTACAGGACTTGGTCAATAGGTGGGTAGCAGACCCTAGAAGAGTGTGTGCTGATGTGTAACCTGGGCTCAGGTTCCAGTTTTCCTTGGGTGCTTTCTGTGTCCCTTAGGACCCCATGGAAGAAGTGCTGCTTCTCTGGGGACGGGGAGTACATAGTGGCCGGGTCAGCCCGGCAGCACGCCCTGTACATTTGGGAGAAGAGCATAGGCAACCTGGTGAAGATCCTCCACGGGACGAGAGGAGAGCTCCTGTTGGACGTGGCTGTGAGTAGGAGGAGGGGTTGCTGCTGTTACTTCTGTAACCGACGTGTGGCTTCCTTCTTAGACCTGATTGTTCTTTCCTTTGTTAAATTTAGTGGCATCCTGTTCGACCCATCATAGCATCTATTTCTAGTGGAGTGGTATCCATCTGGGCACAGAATCAAGTAGTAAGTATTTTTCTAGTTTAATTACTTTGAAACTAGGAATCTTTTTTTTAATCAAAGAATTTTACAAATAGTACACTAAAAATTACCTTATTTACTTTTTTTGCATATGATTCTTTTTATTTATTGATTGATTTCAGAGGGGAAGGGAGAGGCAGATATGGAAACATCAATGATGAGAGAGAGAGTCATTGATCGGCTGCCTCCTGCATACCCTCTGCTGGGAATCAAGCCAGCAACCCAGGCATGTACCCTGACTGAGAATAGAACCCTGACCGGGTCATAGGTCGATGCTCAACCACTGAGCCACACCAGCTGGGCTTGCATATGAATCTTGTAACCTAAATAGGTTCAGTGCACTGAGATTTGCCTTATTTTGATGGGATGGTCTTGGGTGATAGCCAATTTACTAGTTGTTTTCAGCGAGAAGTCTAGTGGACTTTCTGCTACATTTTCCTGTTTCTTTATCTGAGATAGATTATTCTTTTGCTTTTATTTTCAGCTCAGTTTCTGCTTTATATCTTGGTTTTATTTTAAACACCTTTCATTATATTTATAATCAGTGTACTCATAATCAGGCTAATATATGAAATATTTGAAGATGTTGGGCCCTAGAATTTCCTTTACTGACTGCACTTTTTGGGTTATAAAGCAATATTTGTTAACACCTTGGAGTATGGTTAACAACAGCCCAGAAAGTGTGTAGAACTCTGATCATTTTGCCTTACTTGCCCTTTGGGGCAGTACCGAGCAAGTACAGGGTGGAGGTTTGGGCTTTGGATTATTGCCTCAGTGAAGAAGAGTAAGTGGGAGTTGGAGTTGATTTTACATCTTAAAAAGATTAAAGATGGCAGTTTGGTTTTTTTTTTATGAAAGAACTACAGTTAATAACTTGGAATGTTTAAGGTAGGCAATACCTTAATATAGTAAAACCTATAGATACCTGATTGTCATTATCCATCAAATTTGATCTCCGAATTCTAAGTTGTTTTCATGTGTAAACCTCTCACATATGTAATTAGTGTCTAGAGCACAGACTTGCTTTCTCAGACGGCTGTGTACTCTGTTTGTGGTGTAGGAAAATTGGAGTGCCTTTGCACCAGACTTCAAAGAGCTGGATGAAAATGTAGAGTACGAGGAAAGGGAATCAGAGTTTGATATTGAAGATGAAGATAAGAGTGAGCCGGAGCAGACAGGTAACATTTCTCCATTGCAGACAGTATTTCTCAAAGGAAAACTGATTGCTTTATTTAGTATTCCTTTTTAATTTGTGTTGAAAGTTTACTTCATCATTTAGTCTAAAACGTCACCTTTTTCAATTGACTAGGGCTTACATGGACATTATTACTAGGATTTGCCAGCTCTCTTGACATTTCACTTTGCATTTCCTGGTCAGTTGCAGATGGTAGTTGAGGGTTTACCTGCAGCAATTAGCAAAGCTCCCACACATGCTGAGTCTCAGCCATGTCATGTGTTGTCTCTCCTTGTCAGTAACGTGACGGTGAAGAGCTCAGGCTCTGGAGTCACATTGTATTCGGAACTTATTCCTTCAACCTGAATGTCCTCGTGTGTATAAGAGTGGGGATAATAGAGCCTGCCTTTTAGGGTTATGAGGAATGGATGAGGTACTGCACCCAAAGCACTCAGTGTAGTGCCAGCTCTGATAGGCATCCCGTTATGATCATGATCATTGATATTTTTCTCTATCTTCTGAACTTCCAGGTAGGAAACTTCTTGAGAATAAAGATTTGAGTTTTTATCCCATGGTGTCTAACACAGGGCTTTATATCTAGTGGGAGTTTCAGTATGTGAGTGCTCATTCTGCCCAGTTGGCACTGTCAGTGAGTAATTAATGCCACAGATCACCTTGATGGTGCTGGAATTAGGTCCCTATTTTGTAAGAATAGGGAACTTGCACGCCTTATGTGTGTTAGCAGGACCACAACATGTGCTAGACTGTATTGGTATGATTGGATTGTGTTCTGTGAAGCTTCAGACTTTCACATAAGTTGTTTTCCTTCTCATCTACTTAGCACATTGAACATACCTTTACTGTAGCACTTACTATGTTGAATTGAAATGATCTGTTAACATCTGACTTCCCAGTTAGACTATGAAGCTTTTACTGAAGAACTGTTTCCAAGTGTCTTGGTTTCACCGTAGTCCCCGTGCCTTGCACATGGTGGCAATTAGTACATATTTGTTGAATGATTAAATAAACGAGCCGTTTGCTTCTCCTCCTTGGTTTCTCCTGAATTTCCATTCATGCAAATCATTGAGCCACGAGTGAAAAGCAGTTTTGCACTTTTCACGCCTCTGCTGTCTGTCTGTCCGGCAGGGGCTGATGCTGCTGAGGATGAAGAAGTGGACGTCACCAGTGTGGACCCTATTGCTGCTTTCTGTAGCAGGTGAGCCACCTCGGGGCTAGGCCTCAGCACGTTCCTCCTCTGCAGTTCCCCGTGGCTGGCCCTTCAGTCCCATCTGCTTATTAGCCCCAAGAGATACTTGCTTCTGTGTACATGAAGTCCCTTCCTTTCTCCCCTCATAGAACATCTTAAACCAGAATAACTCATTTATGCCACTTAATTTTACTACTGATTTTATTAATCAGGCTGTTTGATTTCCTTTCATTCATGCTGGTTTTCTTAGAATTCCAGATCCATACCTGGAATGGCTAATGGTTAATAGAGGTGATTCTGTCCTAGAAGAAGGGTTATTGGTTTAAGCAACTGTCTCCTCTTTTTTTCCAATCCCTTGTCTGATCTTATTCCAAATAGTGATGAAGAGCTGGAAGATTCAAAGGCTCTATTGTATTTACCCATTGCCCCTGAGGTAGAAGACCCAGAAGAAAATCCTTACGGTCCCCCACCGGATGCCGTCCAAACTTCCTTGATAGACGAAGGGGCTAGTTCAGAGAAGAAGAGGCAGTCTTCCGCAGATGGGTCCCAGCCACCTAAGAAGAAGCCCAAAACAACCAATATAGAACTTCAAGGAGTTCCGAATGATGGTAAGAGCCACCCGCCTCTTCTCCCTGCCTCCTGAGAGACACCACTTTTTATTCTTCACACCATCTTGTAGTTTCCTGTTTCAGTGATTTTACCTTAAAGGAATTTTCCCATGAGTCTGGACAACTTTGTAATGATTTCATGTGCTTTCAAAATGGGAGGTTCTGCCCTCTGTACTTTGCCTAAGGTGACGACACACGTTCAGTTTTCTGACATCTGGCTCTGAGTTTGTTTCACTGTGCCACCATTTCCATCGCTGCTGCCCTCCCCACCCCTGAAGAGTTTATCAGGTGGTAAAGTACTAGTCAGACTTGGACAGCCTTCTTTCTTCCTACATACTCTTTGCAGTCTGACTTGGGGAGCCCTAATAATCACGTGGTTGAGTCAGGATTCTTACCTGGGACTCTCTAGTTCCAAAGCCCGTTTCCTCTCTGTTCTCACATGACATTTTGGTTGTGTGCATTCCTGTTCTGCCTTGGTGTGTTCAAGGTCAGTGTGCCTTTCAGCTACTTTTTCCATTTAGAGCTGCTGTGGTTTGGTGCGGTCCACATAGGCTATATGTGCCCTTTGGCCAAGCAACTATTTCTCAATGGCCATTCTTTGTATAGTTTTATAAATAATAAAGCAAATTTTTCTCCTTGTATTAGTGGATCTGGGCATAAGGGCAACATCCTTTGCTCCTGGGTAGGTGGCATGCCATGTGCTTAGTTGGGGTGATGGGGCTGGCGGTTCCGGATTCCTTTCCATGCCTGTCTGTCCTTTTACAGAAGTCCATCCACTACTGGGTGTGAAGGGGGATGGCAAATCCAAGAAGAAGCAAGCAGGCCGGCCTAAAGGATCAAAAGGTAAAGAGAAAGATTCTCCATTTAAACCGAAACTCTACAAAGGGGACAGAGGTTTGCCTCTGGAAGGATCAGCGAAGGGTAAAGTGCAGGCGGAACTCAGCCAGCCCCTGACAGGTAAGGACACATGGGAGCGCTGTCCGGCTTGCTTTGTGGCCTTGCTGTGTACGGCCCGTGACTCCATGTTCCTGCAGCGCTTTTTCTTCCTTCCTCCTTTTTCCAAGTGGCAGGTGTTCTCTGAGTGTTAAGCTTCCAACAAGGGCAGGCTCAAACAGATTTGGCTTAATCCCGTGACTCTTAACTTGGGTCCCTAAATAGGTTTAAGGGTCTGCATTCCCTTGATACTATGTGAATGCAGAATATTGTGTGAATATTATCGGAATTCATGACCCGAAAAGGGGAAACAACCCCTAGTTTAATTCATTCCTTCACCTGTATTTGCTCTTAGATGTTTGTTTTGTCTCAAATGAAAGAGCCATGCAGATAACCAGAACTGTAAGCTTGCTTTATATAGCCCCTGACTATTTAACTGTGGCCTCTCTCCCTTTCTCCCTCCCTCCCTCCCTCCCTTCCTCCCTCCTTCCCTCTCTCCGTCCTTTTCATTCTCTCTCTGTTTCTCTGCCAGTGGTCTAGAAGCAGTAATTAAGTTGTTGGTAGTACTATCATGATAAAAAAAGAAGATGAGTTGTTTTTTTGTTTTATCTTTCAAACAAGAGATTACCAAAAAGACAGGAACTACAGTATCTTTGTAGCTTCTTAACACCTAAGCCTTTTGAAACTTACTGAGTTTTCTCACTTTTAATATGATTGAGGAATTTTTATTAGGGGATGGGAGAACAATTTCAATTTTCTATCAAATATTTTTCACTCTAGGCTTTGGTCTCTTGTTTGGAAACTAGTAATCAAATTAGAATCCATTTCTATTCAAACATTGTTGGGTTTTGGAAACTTTGTTTTATGTACAAAGCGTTACTTTAGTTAATACAGTATTCTCAGTTTTTCGGTGGCTAGGTCAGTAGACTCAGCGCCCCAATGATAAAATATCTGGCTGTATTCAGGGCCCCCCTCCGCCCCCCTTGTTTTACAATTGTAATGAATATATGATGGTGAGATGCACTGGGATGTGAGATAGAATTCCTTGCTTATACTTAAGTCATTGTGCACATGACTTCTCTTCTGCAGAGAAGCTGAAGCAGGATCAGTGACTCATCATTTTGAGTATTCTGCCTCAAATGAGCTAGACTTTAGTTTTTCACCGCCCAACACCTTACCACTGAGAACCCCCACTTTTCCCAGCATTTATGGTGCTTCACTGATAGTTATCACCTCCACATTCAAGCTACCGAAGGCTCGGTCTGTATATTTTTAAATAGCCTAAAAGAGTTATATGGGTATCGTCAATAAAGGTTGCAGATTAGTAATTGACATATTAAGTAAAATTGATTCTTTTATCACCCACTTCTTGTACACTTGCTACTACAGAAGACACAATTTAAGGTGTAAGTAGATTTTTCTGGCCCACAGAGCCAAAATGCTTCAGGGTGATTTAAAAGTTGGCCAAGCATAGTGAATTAATTGAAATATTCTAGGACATAGTCTCCTAGCTCCTTCAAAAGCAGCCTGTAATTAATCATTTGCTTTGTGATAGTAAATGTATGACAAATAAGCCATTCAGTTTTCTCTCAATGATAGAGTGATTTCAACTTTTATGTTTAGTTGGTGTGGTCACTAGCAGTAGCTAAATATCTCTGACATTCGCCAAACTGGGTTTCTGTCAGGCACCCGGTGAGGTGCTGCTGGTGTTTGCAGTGTAACAGCAGTGGGTTCTCAGCTGTGCTTCAGGAAGGTCTGGAAGAGTCAGAATCACAATGTTGGCAAGTTTCCTCAACCTTAAAGGAATGGGCCCTTTTATTCAGTAAACTTTTCAAAATACTGAATATAGTTTTCAGGGATACTTTGAACTAGATGTGGACTACATATTTTAGTACTGGTACAAATCAGCATTTCAGAGCTCCTTCTAGAAAGAGTAGAAACCATTATCAGGGGCCTATTGGAAGTTTGTTTCCACTCACTTTGCCGACTAGGTTAAATGAGGCACAACCTCATTAAAGACTAGAACCTCTATCCTGGAATAGCTGGACACTTCAAGCTGGATTTTTATTTCTACATTAGGTACTTGAGTTGGTCAACTATAAGTAGACACAACTATTTTAATAGCTTTACCCTTTACAAGAACTAGAGGAGATTTTTATATAACAGAGCCAGGGTGATGACACATTTTCTGACAACACACAGACAAAACAACTGCATAGTTATTGCAAACATTTCACCAACTTCTCATGGCTGTGTGCATGCGTACTTCCCCATGTGTAGGCTTCCTTCTGCTGTTTTCTCCTTTCTTCTCTGGCCTTGGTGCCCTGACCTTTTGCTGAATGGAAGCCTCAAAACTGAAATGGTCAGATTAAACTCGAGTTTGCTGAGGGGCAGGGTCATTAAGAAACCTCAAAGGGGCCTTGTGGTGTGGTTCCAAGACTTTCTCGAAGAGCTGCAGCCAGCTTTGTTGACCAGCTGCAGTTTGGTTAGGATCGTTGTGATGGCTGCAAATCTGGGGAGAGTGGTGCAACTGGGGTTACAGATAACTCCAGTAGAAGCCTCCGTTGCAAGACAACCCATCATATTTTTGTGTAGGATTTTTCGGGCAAGAGTGGGGCTTCATCCAATACGATGGTCAGCTTAGAGGGCCCTGAGCAAGCACAGGTGGCTGGCACAGGCTGGCTGACACACGCTATTAATTTCCAGATAGTCCCCCAAGGCCATAGAGATAAAAACTCTGGTATTTGAGTTTCATGTTCTTCCACGCCTTGGAGATTATCAGTAAAACGCAGCATACAATCACTGTAGATAGATTTCCCTGAGGTATTCAGAAATGAAATCTGACCCAGAATGCCTGAGGCTGAACCGTCCTCAGAAATCAGTTCAGGTGTTTGCTTCAGCAGCACATACACTAAAATTGGGATGCTCCAGAGATGAGCATGGCCCCTGTGCAAGGATCCCCCCCAAATCAATTCAGTCTGATGGTCAACTCAAGGTCGCCTCCCTCAAAATGCCCTAACTTTGCATTCGAACTAAATGATTTGAAGGCAGGATTATAAGTGTAGGTTGTGTTACTGCTCAAGTTACATAAATGACAACTGTTAATATCTACAATTTAGGAGTTATTGAAGAAACCGTTTGGTAAGCCCTGATTAGCCCTGATGAAGCTACTATAGTGTGTTCCTATTGCAACAGCACGTTATGCATTTCAAAGGGTGGTTGGAAGACACATAAGTCATATAGAAATAATCTGCTCTCTGGAATCTAGAGCCACAGAAAATTCTTCCCTATCAGACAGCTCCTCGGCATTGGATAACATCCATGAAGACACACTTTCTATGATGAGGGAGGACCCATCCGTGAAGTGTGGTGAGGGTGACCCTGACCTTGGGACTTTTTGGAAAGACCAGACCAACACGGCACTTACCAGGTTCCCCACAATTTCCTTATTAGCTACTCTCCAGAGGACAGTCCTCAGATCAAAACGTGAGATGCAAGCAGAACCACCAGTGTCCCCGTTGCCCTGTGGCCGCTCAAGGATTGCCCAAGAACTAGGGCTCCTTGGCAGTAAACATCAGTGGCAAGTGTGACAAAGCTGTGGTCTGTCAGCATATGTGGTCTAAAGGCTCGTGAGATGGTGGGCGTGAAGGGGTTGGTGTGCACTTGGGTCTAATGGGAGTGCAGGGACCGAGATGAACAGAGGCGCTGCTTCTGGGAGTGGACAGGCAGGGGGAGATTTCCCGGAGTTTGGCCTCCCACTACCCCGCCTAATGCTGGCCCACCACCCCGGGCCTCCTAACCATCTCCCGAATCTGAGATTGTTTGAATGCTTGGTAGCGAGTGACGGTTTTAATTCCCTCCTTTGCTTTTTAAAAAATTATCAAATAATTCATGAATGTCTGCTAAAATCAGACGACTATTTAGATATTCTTTCTCATTCTTTGTGATTTTTATTAGCTGACTAAGGTAATGTTTGAAAGTCAGTATCAAGCCCTGGCAGTTGTGGCTCAGTTGATTGACCATCTATGTTTCTCTCTTTCTCTCTCTCCCTCCCTCCCTTTCTCCCTCTCCCTTCATCTTGCTGTAAAATCAATAAAACACATTTATTTTAAGAAATCCATTTCCAGTATTCTCTTAGGCCACTCTGGCTTGGGCTGCTATTGGAAGGTACTACTAGTAGCTGCTCATCTTCAGCTGAATTTTATGTTATTGTAGATTGCCTTTCTGTTGCAACTAAATAATGCGTGTCCTTGAGCAGACTAAATTGCTTGGAGGTCTGGTCTTGTGCTGCTGTTTCTGTGTACCTTGTCTTGCTCATAGTATGATTGCTCTGGTTTTGGTTTATTTTGGTTTTCCTGTCATGATTTAGGCTTAAAATGTCAATGTTGTGTTCATTTTAAACTGTTAAAACTAGATTGATTAGGGTATGTACCCGAGGGGACAGTCAGCAAAACTAACAAAGTGTTAAGTGGCATAGATTCTTTTATCTTGAGACTCTTACAAAATGGACTCAAGAGATTAATCATTAAGTTTTTGTTGAGAGAGACCTGCATAATAGGTGCTCACTACACTTTTATTTTACTGAACTATATAAAGTTTAAATCTGATTTTTGACAATATAGCATCCAGGAAGAGTTTATAATTTCAGTCTGTTCTCAGGCAAATGGGAATATATTTTTATTGCCAGTTTTCATTTGTGCTTTAATTTTTACTTTAAAAATCAGGTTTAAAGCAAAGGGTATAAATGGGTACTTCCATAACTTGGGCCATTATTTTTTAACCATTTTCCCTCAAGTGGCATGTTCTCCCCCATTCCCAATAACACCTGGGAGGATTTTCTTCACCTTGTTCTCTTTTTACACTTCCTAGTTAATATTTCACAGCAGCCCATGTAAGGATGTCCCTCAGAGCTTGAACAGCTTCTATGGAACAATCAGGAAAGTGTTCATTTGATTTTACTATTGAGGATTTTATTTATTGATCAGTTGTTGGCACATAGAAATGCCAACGGTAGTTTTCATTAACATTTCATCCTACTTGGAATTCTAAGGTGATGATGAGAATGTCACTTAAGGAATAGGGGTGCTTGGGAAAGGGTTTGTTGCTCACTGTTAATCACTTAGTGTCTAATTAGTCTCATATATGAAAGATTTGAAGATGCTGGGCCCTAGAATTTCCTTTACTGACTGCACTTTTTGGGTTATAAAGCAATATTTGTTAACACCTTGGAGAATGGTTAACAACAGCCTAGAAAGTGTGTAGAACTCTGATCATTTTGCCTTGCTTGCCCTTTGGGGCAATCCCGAGCAAGTACGGGGTGGAGGTTGGGTTTTGGATTATTGCCTCAGTGAAGAAGAGTAAGTGGGAGGTGGAGTTGGTTTTAGCTTAAAGTGGGGGGATTCTTAGTCCATGTGTGCTTGTCCTGCATCATTCAGCATCCATCAGTGTTTTGTGAGTAACTGGTCTAAGTTGATACTAAAAGAAATCTTTTTGTGTCTGATCTCTAGCAGGGGGAGCAATCTCTGAACTGTTATGAAGATCCTTGAAGTGCTTCAGTCTTCCCCACTTTTCCATCATGTGGCTTCTGGACACTGTTCAGTCATTTGAAAGTGACTTTAATTTAAAGCAAATGCCTCTGCTTCGCCCAGGAGGTGGAAGGAGTGAATTTTATGTTTGAATGAAGAAGTGAATTATGAACGAAGAGTATACGTCCCTTCCCTTTCAAGCATAAGTCCAAATAGGCTCTCAGGAATGCGGATTTGTGAAGACATCACATGGGAGTTTGACTCATTTACACTTTAATATGAGTTATGTTGTGGAGAAAAGATATTTGTTTTGCTCATCTAATCTCACTGTACCCCGCATCATTTTGACCTGTCTCCTACCTGCCTTCTATCCTCAGTGCACGTCCTTGAGTAACTTGTTCTTATCTGAAATTCTGCTACCAGTATCCTTGGAAAACTTGTTGCATATTCTTCCATTTTGAAACTTACCCTTTCGCCAGATTCCTCCTGTATTTCCATATTGTGTACAAAGGATGGGCAAAGAAGAGAGTGCTTGAAACATTTGACATTTGTAGAAAGGGGAGAACGATGAGAAAGGCCCCTCTTCCCAATGGACCCCATTTTGCTCAAGCTGGGCTTCAAGAGGGGTTTTTGTTTTCCTTTCACTGCATGTTTCCCTCCAGTTTGGTTCATTCGCATTAATCATGTTTTGTGTGTATGTGTAGTTTTTTTTTTTTTTAAGGTAGCTAGTTTCATTTGTCTCCAGCAAAGAATCATCAGTAGTTTATATTGCTTCACTTGTGCTGGCTTCCAGAGATGGAAACAAACAAGGTGTCTCTCAACAGGCTTTTTTTTTTTTTTTTTATTGGGGCTGGGGAATCTATGAAAGAACTACAGTAAAACCACCCAAAATCAAAGCAGCAGCCACAGTTCAAATCACAGACGAAGGAACAAAACTTTCTTATCATTGCTTGTGAATATCTGTCCTTCTGTCAGTCATCGCACCTTCCCCTCCTTGTGTCCAAGCTCCTTTTCCTTATGACATGTTCCAGTCACTTCCTTTCTATGAAAGGTTGCTTAGCTTTTAAAAATTTTTTTACATCTTGCTTTTGCTGTTCTTTTATATAAAAGGTAGCATATTGGATGGATGTGTACATTAGGTGTTTGAAATTCTCTGAAAATCCAGAGTATAACCAGATGTGTGTATGTGGGGGGTTTGGGGGTGGGAGGTCACTGGTCTGAGGAGAGCTTTTAGCTGACCGGCGTGCTTAACATGCATCATCATTTTCACAGTGTTTTCAAAGGGGAGTTTGCACATTGCTTGTTGTGAAATCTCTATCAGCTGGTGGGCGCTCCTCTAGGAGCCAAACAGGTTGGTTACCTTTTGGATTTTGGGATAGAAATCAAAGTAGAGCACATCAGTAAGAGCCTCTGTCCTCTTCCATCTTTTTGAACCAAAATACTCAGTGGTTGATGAGCTGTCCTTGAGTCAGTTGCAATATGTCTCTATTTTTAGATGCCACTATTTTTTCCTCAAATGCTTGTTTTGTGAATTTCATTTCATATTTCATCTCAGACCAGTGGTTGAGATTAGTAGGTGGCTCACTGACATATTTTCATTTGCAGACATTCCATTCCAAATCTGTGTGCTATGCACTGCAATAGTGTGCCAACTGTGATACAAAGGGTTCTGGCAGCAGCTCCTCATAATTATTTATGCTTTTGGAATTTTTTTCAGCTCCTGAAATCTGTCCATTTCAGCGTGATTGTCTCAATTTGTACAATATAAGCGTATTACCTTCTTCCCCTTGTCATGCCCCTCCTTCCGTTTTCTAATGTTCTGTAGTTTTGTACAAGACGAGACTTAGCCTTGGGTACTTCTTGCTGAAGCTTTAATGCTTTGTAAATAAAATTGGATGTTTATTAAAGAACAGGTGTAGATGCGTGTTGTAGGCACTCACCACTTCTGAAACTCACCTGCCCCTTTGCTTTATGAAGGAAAAGGATCTTTCTTTGTGAAAATACAGAGCTGGGACGGGGAGGGATGCTCAGGTAACCAGGTTTCTGCCTCTGGACAAGATTATAAATAAACCGTTCAAACAAAAGGTGTGAAAAAGATCATCTAGGAATGATCTCTTCATATTTTTAAATTCAGTATAAGTGTGTGTACTGACTCAGTAGAGGCGCCAGTGCTAGGAGGTGTTCTGCAGGTTATAGAAACGCATGCGAGGAGCTTCCTTCCGAGGAGCGTAGCACACGTGAGCACAGTTCAGGTCCCCTTTACTGGCCCTTCCCCCTACATTAAATAGCTTCAGAACCCACTGAATACGAGTCATCTCTTAAGCAAGATGTTTCCTAAAGGCTAGTTAAGTGTTTGATTTTAATCATCACGTCTGAGTGCTTGCCTGCTAATCTTTTCTATTATGTGACAGAATACGCCTTTGACATCATAGCTGTTTCATAGCAACACCGGCCCAAGTGAAAGATGAGCTGCTCTAGCCTCCAGAATGAAGGGCACAGGCCAAGAGTCATGCGTCCTCTCCTCCAGAAAATACCTTCGGTGCCCTTGGGAAGGAAAAGTGCCTGGGAGATGGAGAGCTGCCTTTAGTCTTGGTACCTTGCTGGGAACAGTTGATTTTAAAAGAGCTCTTGGCCCTTGTCTTCATGAATGTTCATTTCTATGTAAAATTCCTCACACAGGAACAGTGTCTCTCACTTGACAAAGTATTTCCGTGTACACTTTTTCAATGGACGCTCAAAATGACCTTCCTGAAATATACATGAAGGTTTTAACTTCCAAAGGAGAAATCAGACAGCGGTGCAGGAAGGATAAGTCACTTGCCTTCTAGTCCAGCGTTCTTAATCCTTTTTATAGAAGGTTTAGGAGCACTGAGAGTCAGTAACTTAGTTCAAGTTAGTCCTCTCTTTTAAGACTTGATTTCTTATTTGGTCAGATTTAACTGCGGTTTTGAAACCCTTTAAATTAGGTCCACAATTTGGCGGGGAGAGGGAAGAGTGAGGGAAACTCACTCTGAAGTCATGTAGTTGTCTTCCCAAGAGGCGGATTTAAAGTCATTGAAAGAATGGAAAGAAGGGGTTGGTAAGGGCGTCACTAACAAGCAGAGGTGGTAAAGCAGCAACATTGTGACTCCTGCCTGTGGTCTCACCTGTTAATAAGGACTGGACTTTGGCTTATGAAGTGGCAATGTTTTATTGACAATGCATGCATCCTGTCTTCCAACTTTGAAGGATATCTCATGTCGAAGGAATTGAGTTAATGATATCATGGAGGATTCGACTGGCACACCTGGAGGTGCTGTCCGAGGGCGGTGACATGTCTACTGAGACATGACGACGTTGGCCACGAGTTTTATCCTTGGAAGCCTGGTGTTGGCCTTCTGTCCGCCTTTTGTCATGACTTTGCCTAAAACACTGGCCATCCCTGAGAAGCTGCAAGAAGCTGTGGGGAAAGTCATTGTCAACGCCACCACCTGTACGGTCACCTGTGGCCTGGGCTATAAGGAGGAGACCGTCTGTGAGGTGGGCCCCGATGGAGTGAGAAGGAAGTGTAAGTCTCAGCGCTTGGAATGTCTGACCAACTGGGTCTGTGGGATGCTCCATTTCACCGTTCTCGCAGGCAAGAAATTTGAGCTGAGCTGTCTGAGTTCAGACATCCTGGAGATCGGGCAGGAAGCGTTCCAGTTCACCTGGAGGCTTGCTCGGGGCATCATCTCCACGGATGATGAAGTCTTCAAGCCCTTCCGAGCCAGTTCCCACTTCGTGAAGTTTAGATTTATTCACGAGGAGGACTCTGGGACCTACCGGTGTGATGTGCAGCTGTTAAAAAACTTGAGACTTGTCAAGAGGCTCTATTTTGGGGTGAGGGTCCTTCCTCCGCAGCTGGTGAAGCTGGATTTTCAGCAGTCCCTCACCGAGGACCAGAAGTTAGTAGATGAGGGCCTGGAAGTGGATCTGGGTAACTATTCCAGGCCTCCCCGTCCACCATGGAGAAAGAAGGTGGCTATAGCCTTGGGAATAGGAATTGCTAGTGGAGTGATTGCCAGTGTATCATTGGGCATTGCCTTGTGCAGTGGGCAGAGGGTGGGCCATAGCAATGCCAACCATTAGACCTAATAGGCCTTGCTCCTGAAGGGCTGGCTGCCCAGGAAGTGGGACTTGACTGCTCAGGAAGCCAAGCTCGATTTTCAGGGGAGCGTTCTGGCTGCCTGATTGTGGACCAGCCAGAGGGAGGGCTTCCAGAGCCAAAAGAGCGAGTGGGGATGTGGAGAAGGGACAGCATCCTGGTAGCAATGGTCAGTATCTCAACTGTGTCCCAGATGGACCTCTTCTTGAACTTCCCTGCCCACGAGGTACCCAGATAACCTTACTGCACGCATCTCCCCTTCTGCTGGGAACAGTTCTGTCTTCCAAACTTGCATTTATTTTCTACCCTTCACATCTTGAATGCCTCTTCTCCACTTCCTCCCTCTGAGCAGCATAATCACATAGAAGGGTATATTAGTAATAGCTTTTCTAGTGGAAACACTTTTTTCCTCAATAAAAATAACGGACAGTAGCTGAATGGAGAGACATCTTTCCTACTCTTTAATTAAAAATCACTTGCGTTTGTTTCAGTTGTCCCATAATCAGTTGGGCTTTCGTTTTCCTCAAATTTCTTAGAATAGATATTGAACAAATTGCTTTGTAGTGGGGCATAGGCCCCTGTGTACCAGAGCCAAGGTTAGCAATGACATCTGACTCAGTATATCATAGACCCTCACTAAATGTTAATCATTTATTAGCCCCTCTCCATCCTCCCAGGTGAACCCTCCGTATTCAGTGTAACATTGATTCCTGGCAGAACACGGAGTCTTCATCTGATAGGTTTCCCCTGAACAGTTCCCTGGCTTGCTCCCTTCTTCTCTCCTAGCTCTCTCTGTGCCCTGGAGCATGTGTTCCTGGAAAGGTCAAGTGTATTTGGTTTCTTACAGCAGCCCAGGCCCCTTAAGGGAGGATTAGTACCTTCCTCCATGGGAAATCCAATCTAAGACCCTCAGAGGCCATTCATACTGTCTGAGATAATTGGCTTGTAGAACCAGCAGGGAAAAGGCTCTTGACTGCAGCCAAGCTAATTCTGAGAAAATTATAGCATTTCTTCACCTCACGTCTCTCTGGCTACAGAGGAGGTAGTAGAAACCAAGACTTGGACCAGTGGTTCTCTTCAAAAAACCCAAAACAAAACATCAAACCCACAGAGAAGTTGAAAGGTTTGGTGACAGCCATAGACTCTTTACCTAAATTCATCAACTTTGAACATTTTGCTGCAATGATCTTCCTAAATACTGATTTTCCTGAACCACTTGAAAGCTAGTCACAGACACTGTGGCCTTTAGTCCTAAATTATGTATGCACCTCCTAAGAAGGGCATTCCCCTGTGTGACGGCAATATCTTCATCACATCTAAGAAAATGAACTGTTCCCTAATGTCACCTAGAATTGGCGTGTGTTTTTAATTTTCCTAAAATCTTAGAGCTTTTTCATTTAATTTTTGACCCAGGAGCAAGTGAAAGTTAACATATTTCATTTGGTGGTTTCTCTTACACCTTATTTTACAACAGATCGGCAGCTATTTTTGTTGTTTTTCATGACATTGATTTGGTTGAAGACTCTAGCTAGGTCAGTTGTCTTGAATATTGTCCCAAAATCTGGATTTGTCATTGTTTCCTGATGATAAGCTTCTGAGGAATGAATCTTAAACATTTTGACAAGAGCTTATGTAAACGATGACATGTGCTTACTGCATCACCTCAGTAGGTGCATGATGCCAGTTTGAACTGCTGTTGCTAGGCCTCTCCAAAGGTATGGGGGGGGGGGCAGGCAAAAGTAGGTTTACAGTTAGTACATGAAAGTTTATCCTTGTATTTATTTGTATTACAACCGTAAACCTACTTTTGCCCACCCCAGTATATTTTTCCCTTTTGTAATTAATCTGTGGGATGCTACTTTGTGATTATCTGGTTTTCTAAAAAAATGTCCACAAACATTTTGGAATCCATTCATGATCCTTACGATGGCATGTGGGGGTTGCAAACTGTTGATTCTTTACATTCCTCATTTCTGTGTTTATTAGCCTGCAGTTTTCTGTAAAGAAGAGCTGCTCTTTTTACTCTTTATTTTTGAGGTCTCAATGGATCCTCGTTTTTAGTCAGCAAATTGTATATAATCCATTACTGTTGTCATGTTTTTGATATTCAAATTGTCCCCAATTTTGGCTAGGAGGAGTCCCTTCAAGCCAGCTCTTCTGTCCTTTAGATGTGATCTCGTTTGACTTCGATTATGTCCTTGCTTCCTCGTACAAGAGTCTCAGGCCCACATTTGGACTTTCTCCAAACCGGACTCTGCTGTTTCTCCAGGGAGCTCTGCCTCCTGTGAGTGTGGGGATAGACACCAAGGGCTGGGGCCGGAGGTGCTTACTGCACTGGGAGTCACCGCTTTTAGGTCCTTTCGGTGTCCTAGAGACATAGAAACCACAGGTCAACGCATGTTTGTTTTGTGGGAGTGGCCTAGGACAGTGGTCGGCAAACCGCGGCTTGGCAAACCGTGGCTCGCGAGCCACCGTTTGCCGACCACGGGCCTAGGACATTCCGTTTCATAGTGAAGACCTGAGGACCACTGGCCTAGGCCGTGCACAGGGAGTCTTTACTACTGCTCTTATTTTGAGATCTTACTTTTTACACACACATACACGCTCCCCTCCCTTTCTCTCTACCTCAGAGGGGATGGGTTTCAGAAGACCTGGGTTCTGCTTCTGTTTCTACTTTTGACTGTGCAATGGAGCAAGCTCTGACCCTCAGGTCCTCATCTTTGAAACACGTGATTGTAAGGATCAAATGAGATCCTGTGAGTAAAACTGCTTGGTAGACTGAAGGACTGGACATGAGTGGGGCAGAGTTATTACTGATGTCTGTTAGTTCACTGCCTGACAGTTTGCCGGAGCCGTCAGGAGAGAGCGTACTATACTTTCTTTCAAAGGCCATAGAAACAACATCTTTGTAGGTAACTCGGGATGATATTGCTGAGGAGGGAGGAGGATGGGGGGCGGGGTACGGTTCCACATTTTACAGATGGAGACACTGAGACCCAAGAGGAGCCAAGTCACTTCTGTCACTTCTGCAGCAAGTCAGTGGCCACGCATGGAAGGCATGTTGTGCAGATCTAGGTTTATAGCCTCTGTGCATGGCACTCTTGAATTTTGACTCTTGAGAATGGGAAGGGATTGAACAGGGAAGAAAACAAAAGGCCCTCGGGTGTGTTAGTGAAGACTCAAACCCAATTCAGTTCATTGAATTCTGTGCATGGAATCAATCAGCCTTGAGGAGCAAGGAGATGCTGGCTGGACTAAAATTTGGGGTCTAGAGTGGCCAGTGGTCCCAGCAGCCCCTTTGGGTGCAAAGTGAAAGGGATGAGCCTGTTGGGGTATCATTGCCATCCATGTTGGCCCCTCAGGGGCCACTGTCAGCTGGCGTTGCTGCTGCTGTTGCTCCAGGCACAGGCTGAGTAGCGAGTAGGGGGCCTCTGCCTGCTGAGCACGGAACGAATGGAACACAGGGCTGCACAAGTGGCTCCCTGCGCGCGCTCAGACGTAAGGCGAGTGTGGCCGGTGTTGGCTGATGCTGCGAGAGGTTGCAGCTGGGAGCGCTGACTAGGAACTCCAACTCTCCTGGCTGCTGTGAGCGGACACTGGAGGCACCTTTTCTGCAGGTGGGGGTCGCTGTCTCTGCAGGGAGAAGACTGCCCTTGGGTAGAGTTGAGTCAATACCTCCAATGTCTTAACCCGGGGCACCTTGAAAGAGTACCATCACACAGGCACTGTTGACGGCCCATCCTGTTGTCTGGCAGAATGCCCGCGTGTGCTGCTTGGGCTGCCCTAAACGTGGCTGATTCCCCCCGCAGGACTGCATGGAGCAGCACGGGCTGTACGTTGTGGTTGCCTTGAGTTGTCTGGGGGTAAGGGGAGGTATGGACAGGAGTCCAGGGTTAGGGAACAGGAGGAGGGGGAGGTGTGTTGGGGCTGATGATAAAACACCCACAGCTGGCGGGCTGCCTCCACAGGTGGAGAAACCGTCTTTATTTCAGAACTGCCTGCTACCAGAGTCAATAACTATCGTTACAAGAAGTACAAGAGAGAGACAGACAACAGGCCAGTGGGAGTGGTTCTATCTGAACAAACACCGAGTCAGGTCCCTGGTCCGAGGAAGCCCCAGGCCTTGTGGGCCGGAGCCTTTCTCAGCTTTGCAGGCCCTGGAGAGGTGGGTAAGTTGGAGTGCGGGGACCAAGGCAGAGCCCAGCCCAAAAGGGCGCTAGGCTTCCTGGGCTCTAGGCGAAGCTACCTGACCCATTTTTCCCTTCTCCAGTTTCCTTCTATGGTACCTTCCCCAAACCTATGACCGTATACATAGACAGCTACTGGGCACCTCTTTCCATGGGGCTCATTGGCGTCCCTTTAAAATGCCTCGCTAGTCCCTCATACCACTCCAGGAGCCTCTGGCAACCTCATTCATCCCTAGGACACAGCCCAGTGAGGCCTCCCCAGGGAAATCAGCACCACACCTGGGCCTCAGGCCGGGTTTGAGGACACTGCTGTCCCTGCGACAGGAGCCCAGGTGACAGACCTTCTGAGATCAGGAGGACAGTCCTCTGGCTGGGAAGGGATACAGAAGTAAAATCGTCAGCCAGCCTGGGCTCTAGTCCAGAGCACGGACTGGGTAGTTCTCGGATGGCCAGGAGGCAGTGCTGGGCATCGGGCTGCCTGGGTGAGCTCCCTCCCTCTGTGATGCGGCGGGGCCACCGCAGATGGGCGCCCCGGGACTCCTATGCCGGCACCTTTGGGTCTAAGGATCTCAGCCCTGGAGGGACAACCCACAGCATCTCCCCCGCTCCAGGCCCCACCTCACTAGACTCCAGATGCCCACCTTCCTCAAGGCTTTCTTAGGAAGGTAGAAGCTTCCTGCTATCCAGGCTCTCCTTGCAGGCATTTCTGTCTCACTTTAGTCTCTATCAAAAGAACCCCTTCCCGCCCAGCCCCCCCTTCC